CCCCATCTCTACTAAAAATACAAAAATTAGCTGAATGTGGTGGCGCACAACTGTAATCCCAGCTACTCAGGAGGCTGAGGGAGGAGAATCACTTCAACCTGGGAGGTAGAGGTTGTAGTGAGCCGAGATTGCACCACTGCACTCCAGCCTGGATATTCAATACAGTCAGCCTTCCATATCTGCAGGTTCTGTATCCATGGATTCAACCAACTATGGATTGAAAATAACAATACAACAAAAAATAATGCAAATAAAAGCAATATAGTATAGCAACTATTTACACAGCATTTACATTGTATTAGGTATTATGAGTAATCTTGAGATGATTTAAAGTATAAAGGAGGATGTGCATAGCTTATATGCAAATATTGCATGATTTTGTATCAAGGACTTGAGCATCCTAGGATTTTGCTATCCTCAGGAGGTCCTGGAACCAATCTCCAACAGATACTAAGGGATGACTGTAATTTGTTCTACCTGAATGTGTTATGTACCTCTGACACTTACTTAATTTTTGACATTATCAAGTGTGTTCTGCTGTTTGTTGGTCCTGGAAAATGGAAGTTCTAATAAAAAGAGACAAGCTGTGAGGTTCAAGGTCGTTACATTCATATTTTAGTTTCTCATTTGGCAGAATATTCTAAAGGTTATAGCCATGGTATCTTCAGCCACTTGGCAGTAAGTGCATGAGACTATGTATTTTATGGCACCAAATGATGTTGGCCAGAACCTTGGTAGGAGATAGGACGAGTCCAATAAGATGATGATGCTTCCTTACCCGAAAGAGATTATAGTTTGCATATTTCACAGCACAATTTTGATTTGAAAAAGGAAGATAAGAAATGAGAACTGGAACCTGCACGGGTAGGTTAAGAACCAGGAGAATGGAGTTCAGGTGTTTCCCTGACCAACAGTGGGACCTGAAGTGGCAGTAGGTGTTTCATCTATAAGATGAGGGTGATTAGGTGGACTGGATGAGCAGTTCCCTGCCCTTGAAGGCTTGTTAAAACACCAGTTGCTGGGCCCCAACCCCCAGCGTATCTGATTCAGCAGGACTGGGGTGAGATCTGAGAATGTGCATTTCTAAAAAGGTCCCAGGTGATCGTGATGCTCTTGGTCCTGGGGTCGCACTTTTAGTGACACAGGTCTGATCCAGTAAAACATGCCCAGTTGTCTAAAGAGAAGGGACTACATTGACTAAGAGAAAGCAGCCTCTAGACTCAAGTGTACAATTGGGCTCCTCTCTAAAGAATGCTGATCCTCCAGATTCATGAGTGGAAATTTTCTTTTCTAATGAACAGAACAAGATGTGCTTAAGGGTGTCTTGAGGGTATCACAATCATCTTTATTAGATTCACTTGTGCCACAGTTTCGATCAAGGCACAAAGACAAGTGGATGACTAGAATCTTCTGAGGAGGTAGAGGTACTACATCACTGGTTGTTCTGAGGCCCTTAAAAGAACTGGGAGGTGGGCCCTGGGTGTAGATGAGCCCACTTAGGCCTAAGATATCTACATGGTCAAGAGACAGAATATAAAGCCCCACTTTCCCCTAGTCCCTCCTACCTTTTCATAAGCTGTGGCTTTCTTACCCCACTGGTGAATGTGCCTCATCAAGAATAGGGTCTCTATTCTTGCCTCAAGGAAAGAACTATTATTTTGTCAGCTGGGTATGACTGAGATATCATAGTATGCTGAGAAGTCTTCCAAATGCATGTGCTATAGATTTGAATTAAATTTTAGCCTTTTAGTTAATATATCACTAAATTCTGTGTTCCTTAATTTTTTTATTACTCTCATAACATGAACAAATTTTAATACTCCTTAAGTGTCAGAAGTTGTTCTTAAATGGCCAGAGTGAGCTACAGCTGGAACATGATGGCCAGTTTGAGAACTTCCAGTTGGCTCTGCAGTTAGACTCCCAACAACTGAGATCCCATGGTTGAAATCAGGTTTTATCTTTTGCTCTAGTGCCCTTTCCCCATTTACATACAGAAACACTTGGTTGTTGAAAAAATTATGTCTAGTGATACACATATATCAAAAATCACATTATCCCCCATAAATATATAAAATTATTAATTAAAAATTAAGAGGGTGTGGTTCGGTGACTTGAGATTCTCGTTTTCGTTTTTCTCCCTGGCAACAGTTAATTGGCATGCTGCTGGCCTGCTGTCTGTCCCGGTTCATCACGGCCAATCAGTATGAGATGGTGTAAGGAGAAGGTAGGTGACAGTGGGGAGTGTTTAATTTTGAGGGGTCCCCTTTGGGACACATAAATACCCTTCAAATGTGCAGGAGTACTCCCTGGCCATTGAGCTACCTGATCTTGGTGGCACTTGTCCCTGTGCAGAAATCTCATTTCCGTGGTTCTGGGAAGGAAGTTTAATTGGTTCTTTTGTGGAAAATGTGGAAATGCTGTTTTCAGCTTGTTATCTTTCTTTTCAAGTCCTTGTTACTGGTGAATCACTCACATGTTCTAATTTCTCTCTTAGTCTTTCAAGAACGACGGAATAAGAGACCTGTTTTAAAAAGGAACTGCAGCAATCTTTGAAAGACTTCCAAAGAATGTTAGAGCACAGTACATAATACACCTGCCCTGCTCCCCCTATCCCTTACCCCCCACGTGCAACTGACACTCCCACCCAGTCTCTGCTCCACCTTTCAGCCCATGTCACTTGTAGTGTCCATTTTGTGAAGCCTTGTTGTGCCACAGAGTGTAGCCAGGCCCCCCTGCAGCTAGTCCTAGTGAACCTCACCCCGAGGCCCTGCATGGGCCAGCCGCTCCATCTGTACTTGGTCCAACTGCAACTCATCATCGGTGACTGGTTATCACACCATCGCTGGCCCCTTTGGGCCCTGCATGTAGTGTGGGAGGCTCCTGTTAGCTCCTCACTGTGGTAAATGCCACACACCTTTAAGTAGATAAGCAGACGATAGTTATCTGTTCTTTTGACTTAATCTCATTTGGTTTGATTTTCCCTCTACTAAGGCTTTCCTACCTTCTTCAGGCTGCCTAAGACATGTAAAGAAACACATCGATAATTGTCCATGAGGAGAAAAAAAGCATGTGTCATGCATGAAGGAAACTGAGCTTTAGGTGGCCTCCTTGCTTGTTACATACCTGGGTATGTGTAGGCAGTTTAGTGCATCTTTGCCTCTCAGTTGAAACCTGTATAATCCTGTTACAAAGCTGTGTTGTTGCTTCTCGTGAAGGCCATGATAATTTTGTTTTTCCCCAATTAATTGCTATTGTGTTATTTTACTACTTCTCTCTGTATTTTTTTTCTTGCATTGACATTATAGACATTGAGGACCTCATCAGAACAATTTAAAAATGAGTGTGAAGGGGGAACAAGTCAAAATATTTTTAAAAGATCTTCAAAAATAATGCCTCTGTCTAGCATGCCAACAAGAATGCATTGATATTGTGAACATTTGTGATATATGTATTAATAAATAGAGCAATTACAAGCAGCTGTGTTCTGATTCTGTTCTTTGGTTCTTATGACAGTTTTTAAATACATTTCTATTCCATCTTGCTCTTTAGGACATTGCAGGCAAGTGGACCATCTCACACACTGACACACCTCTCCATGTGTGCTCCCACCCCACCAAAATAGCATCAGGCAGCAGAGAAGCTAAAGAGTTAGATTTTTTAAATTATTGTTATGGACACTTCAGAAACTTTAACCATTTATCATGAACAGAATACACTGTTGTCTGCAGAAATAGAGCCTTCATATCATTTCAGGCCTCTGAAATCCTCGGATCTGAAATCCGTGAAATAAATACAAAGATTTCAGCTGAGTTTTTAAAGTCTGGATTTCATTTTCTTAAAAAAGGAAATGAGCCTCTATTCTTTCCTTCATCCTTTCTAATGAGCATGAATTCTTCCCTTTCCTCTTTCTTTTCTGGGTTGGAGTGAATAAACACAATCTAGAGAAGAGATTACATCTTACGATGCAGCCATCCCAATGCCCCAGTTTGTACTGAAGTATGGAATGCTTACACTTGATTTAAAGAGCATTTTATCAATAGGTGCAGTAGATTATTTGCAATCAGTTTATTCTTGATGAGTCATCCAAAAACTAAAAACTTAGTAAAAGCATAAATTCATCTGTTACCAAAATGAGTGGATCTAAAAGGCTCCCTCTTCTCTATAGCTCAGACTGTAATTAGAATAGAGATGGCTTTCTAACTATGTGCATTTATTAGCCTGATCTCTGCATAGAGTAAACCCTACTACAACATTGACAAAGGACACTGCTTAAACCTTCAGTTGTACCCTCTTCAAAAGGTCAGCATTTTTAGTGAATTAAGGGGAGCTCTTCTGTGGAAACATATGTAGCTCAAAAATTTTTCACATCTCTGTTTCGTAATTTCTATTTCATGATATATTGAAATGAGGCTTTTCTGTAAAATCCTAAATAGATCCCAACCCATGGTTTATCTTTTTGCAAACTGTGTGTTTATTGGTATACTTTGGTAAGTAAGAAATCTATATACTGTCTAAATTAAATTCAGATCTCAGAATAACATACTTTTAATGTGAAACATTTGGACCAAGGTTGATTTTCCTTTAAAACTATCAAGTGTTCATGTTTCAACTCTGAATGACTTGTGTGTAATGTCCTTTCCTCTTTCAAAGGAAACTTAAGGGACACAAATTGAAATACTTTTTTTGTTTTCTTTTTTTTTTTTTTTTTTTTTTGAGACGGAGTCTTGCTGTGTCGCCCAGGCTGGAGTGCAGTGGCCAGATCTCAGCTCACTGCAAGCTCCGCCTCCCGGGTTTACGCCATTCTCCTGCCTCAGCCTCCCGAGTAGCTGGGACTACAGGCGCCCGCCACCTCGCCCGGCTAGTTTTTTGTATTTTTTAGTAGAGACGGGGTTTCACCGTGTTAGCCAGGATGGTCTCGATCTCCTGACCTCGTGATCTGCCCGTCTCGGCCTCCCAAAGTGCTGGGATTACAGGCTTGAGCCACCGCGCCCGGCCTTGTTTTCTTTTATTATCTTCCCCCGCCCTTTTTTTTTTTGAAATATAACATTTACTTATGGTAAAAAACACAAAATGTTAAGTGTGCAACTTGAACTTGCTCATATGTACAAACCAGTGTAAATAACTGCCCAAATTATATACAGAGTATTTCAGCACCCTTGAAGGTTCCCTGGTGTCCCTTTTCAGTCAGTAACCACAGCCCTCTCACATCCCCTCAATCCTGCTCAGGAGTACCACTAATCTGAATTATATTCCCATAGATTAGTTTTGTCTCTTCTTCAACTTCAAATAAATAGAATCACACAATGTGGACTGTTTCATGTAGCTTCTTTCACTCAACATTGTGTCTGCAAGAGTTAGTTACATGATGCATGTAAACATAGTCGTCTTCATTGTGGTATAGGATTACATTATACAAATATAGCACAGTTTACCCATTCTTCTGGACATTTGGGTTGTTTTTTAGGTTTGGGCTACTATGATACAGCTGCAATGAGCATTATGGTATATGCTTTTTGGTGGATGTAAATACACATGCAGGATTGCTTAGAAATAAGGTATGTTTAACTTTAGAAAGTACTACATAACATTTTCCCAAAGTGGTTATACTAATTTATACTCCAATCAGCAATGTAAAAAAGGTCTAGTTGTTCCACATCCTCACCAACACTTGCTATTCTCAGTCTGTTTTATTTTAGCCATTCTGCAGATGTATAGTGTTATCTAGATTTAATTTGCCTCACACTTTCACTTTTTCATTGACATTGACTTTTTCATTGTATTCTGTTCATGATAAATGGTTAGTTTCCGAAGTGTCCATAACAATAATTTAAAAAATCTAACCCTTTAGCTTCTCTGCTGCCTGATGCTATTTTGGTGGGGTGGGAGCACACATGGAGATTTGATTTCCTCTTTTGTAAGATGTTCAAGTATTTTGTGTATTTTAAAATCAGTTGTCTTTATTGATTTGTAGGAATTCTTTCTCTATTCTGGACACAAGTGCTTTCTTGGAGGTAAGTATTGCAAATCTTTTCTCCCAGCCTGTGACTTGCCTTTTCAAGAAAAGTGAGTTCTGGATTAACAATGCATCTGGTTAGAGGTAGAAGCAATGACACAAATAATTCAAAATATTAAAAGTCCTTTCTTCCTAGCAAGAGCAATGTTTGATTCCACGGTGCCTCCACTATTTGTTAGTTGACTTTAGAAGGAGCTTTGCCTTTTATTTGTGTTGTGCTTATGCTAATGTAATTAGTTTACATTTTCTACAAATATAAAGATTTGCAGCTGGGAAGAGGAAATAATTAAAACATGTCATTTGAAAATGTCAGGAGCCAGGCCCAGTGTCTCATGCCTGTGATCCGAGCTACTCAGAAGGCTAAGGCAGGAGGAATGCTTGGGCCCAGGAGTTTGGGCTGCAGCGAGCAATGATCGTGCCACTGTACTCCAGCCTGGGCAACAGAGCAAGATCCTGTCTCTAAAAAAATAAATAAATAAAATGAAAAAAAATATTGGGACATCCCCTAGCAATCAGACTCAGGAAAAAAAATATTGGGGGACAGACTAAGGAATTTAGGTTTAAATTAACAAGATACACAAAACAAAGGTTTTCTTGTTTGCACACATTTAATTGTCAATATTAAAAACCTTTGAACAAAACTTAGGTAATAGATTTTTGAGATTATCAATCATAGCCCAGCCCAGAGATTGTTGAGGTTTAGCCTGAGCTTTTTCTTTGTTAAAACTCCCCAGTTGATTCAAATGTCCAGGCAGGGTGGGAACCTCTGTACTAGAATCTGGCTTCAGCTTACCTTTTTCACCTTGTGCTCCACGTCTATCCTATTTACTTGAGATTGTTTTATCCCATGCTTTCACTCTCATTCTCCCTGTTTGGCATGCCTTTTCCCAAGGCTTCCCATCTTCAAATACCATCTTATCTGTGATGTTCTTTTGATAACTGCAGTCCTAGCCTCCTGTGGCAACTGTCTTCTGTGCTCCACATTTTAAATCAAGTATTAATATTTTCCAGAATGTCCATTTTTCCTGCTTTCAAGTTTATAAAGTTGTTATAGTAATGTCTCATTTTTGAAATTTTAATGACACCTACTTTTGTTCCCTTTTTCATTCCTAGCGTTATTTCTTTCTTCCCTTTTTTCCATTAATGCTGAAAATTTGTCTATTTTATGTATTTTCAAAGAACCAGCCTTTCAGTTTCATCCTTTCTATTGTTTGGTTTTTATTTCATTAATATCTGTTCTTCCTTCTGTTTTCTTTGGGTTTCCTTGGATTTTCTCTTTTGTCAATCCTTAGCTCATTAATACTTTAAACCATCTTTTCTAATAATTTCATGAAAGGCTGTAAATTCTCATCTAAGTACAACTTTAACTGCATTTCAGTTTTAATTTGAAATTTTTGTTGTCTTTCAGTTCTAGACATCTTGCAGTTTCCATTAGAATTTATGCATTGAACCATACATTGGGAATTTTTTTTTAAAGTTTCCAAACATGGATTTTAGGGTTTTTTGTTCAAAAACTTGGTTTGTATAATAAAGATTCTTCATTTGTTGAGACTTGCTTTGTGCCTGGGTATGTGGGCAGTGTTTGTTCTGTGTGTGCTTGAAAGTATGTATCTTCTTTAATTGTTGGGTGCAGGATTAGGACAAGCCTGTGAATATATTCAAATAGTAAATTTTATGAATATTAGTAAAATCATTGGTTCTTATGAATATTTTGTCTGTTTATCAGTTTTTAAGAATGATGCATTAAAATCCCCCACTGTGATTGTAGATTCTGTCAGTTTTTGCTTTATATATTTTTAAGCTTTGTTGTTAGTGACATGCAAGTTTAAGATTACGTCTCATAGATGAATCATTTCTTTTGTCATGGACTTTGTTTTCTCTCAATTATGATTATTTTTTTCTTTAACATTCATTTTGTCTGATATTATAGTTATAATTATTTTTTCTTTTGGTGAGTATTTGCCAAGAGTATCGTTCTGTATCTCTCTGGTTTCAGTCTGTAATATTTTTGAGTTAGTACATGTCTAGACATGTTTCTTTCACAACACATAACTGCATTATGTTTTCTTTTTCAGTCCAATCTGAGAAAGCTTTAACAATTATGTGTTGTTATTACTGATGTTTTGGTTTTATTTCTACCATATTATTTTTTCTGTCTACTATTCATTTCTTTCCTCTTTTGCTTCTTTTCTGTCTTCTCTTGAATTAAATATATTTATATTTCTTCTTTGGAAATTATAGATGATATTTTTATTGTTTTAGAGGTTAATGTTAATCTTTTAACATGAATATTTGCATTTAAAATTAATCAGAATAAGGATTCTTAAGAAAGATAGGGATCTTTCTCTAAAATAACAAAAAGACCTTGGATTGTTTTAATTCTAGTCACCACTCACTTAACTTCTATATTTTTGTTGCCTGACATTTTATTTCTACCATATCCCCAAATGAATATTAACTATTAGTGGCTTTACAGTTTATTTAGACTTACCTAAATGTGTACCATTTTGTTGTTCCCCCGTTGTTTCTTGCCTCTTAATCCTTCTGGATTCAGAGATCTATATGTGGTAAATAATCTCAATTTGCACCAGAAAAGTATCATCAAAAGACAAAATTATAACAAGTTAAGTTTAAAGATCTTCATTGACTTTGTGATTCCAGAATTGGGCAACACTTCGTTCTGTGAAACGGAATCAGTGTTTTAATGAGGTGAGCAGAAGGAGTTCGCTTTATAGACAGAGAAAGTCTGAAGAAAGCAAAAGCAAAGAACAAAGAGCATAGCAGTCCTTTCAAAGCTACTTTTCTTGTAAAGCAGGACAAGGAAACAGGGCAATAGAAAAATAATAGTTAACATCAGGTTACTTCGGGACACTTTTTTGTGTAAGAATTAAAGCAGAGGGAACTTCATTATCAAGCCTATTGAAGATTATAAACTGGCCTGCTGGGGAAATTAGCTGTTTCTCCTTGCAGTGTCAGAAAACAACTTAGTTTAGGTTTAGTGACTTTACGATGGGTGACTTCATTTGGATTTTTAGTCTGATCTGTTGGGGCCTAGAACAGAAGCTTAGTCCAAAATAGTGGTCTCCTATAAATTTCATTTAGCAGTGTATATTTATTTCCTAAACATATTTTTAATTCACTACTAGAGGTTTTGCCTAATGTGCCTAGGTCCATTTCTTTCCAGTTTGCCATGTTACCAGGATGTATATTATATTATTTGCAGTGTATTATATGCTGCCTTCTAGTTCTCTAATTATTTTACATGTAAGTAATTTTATTCACAGTTGATTAGGATCTTTTAATAGTGTTCTTGAGGGCAAGGATGATGTCAATACTGTCTTTGTATCCCCCAGTGACTGGCATAGAACTAAGCACTTTCCAGGTTCTCAAATTACTTTATGAGTAACGAATGAATGAACTCCAAGTCCTTAAACTGTGTGCCAGAGCTTATCCAGTCTTATATAAATATATTTTCTTAGGTTATTTCAGTTGTTCCTTACGTCCTACTTGCGGTTTTATCTCTAGAATTCTGTGACATTCCTTTTTTTGCCTCATGTCTTCTTTTCTACCAGTTAATGCATCATTAGTTTTGTCTCATAGGTATGTCATAATTTTTCCCAATGCCCTCAAAGTAACTATGTGTCTTGAGTAGAACTGGTATGATTCAACCTTGATTGTCACGTAGACTTATAGTCAGAATCCCCAGAATTCTGTTTCTTGGAGGAGGGAAAAATGGTTGTCTTTGTTTCCTAATAGAACTTAAAGCGTGTAAAAATATGTTAATAAACACTAAAAGGGTCCAAGAACAGATAAATGAATTCCTCCTAGCCCTGTTAGTTCTCTGCAACAAACAGTACTGGATGATATATATGCATAGAACTTTTGACCTCATGTTTGGCATTTCTAGGGAGTGATATAATTTAATTAGAAAATGATTATTCGAAGACCTACTGGATTTGGACCATGGGATGTGAAGAAGAGTAAGAAAATGCTTTCAAGCAGTGTAATTAATTTCCATATATATATAGCAGATCTTTTAATCTAGTAGTCTGCTATAATAATTCAGGTTTGTACAGTTGTGAAAGGCCAATGTGATATCTGTGACTATAACTGTCTTATCTATTGCTTTATAACACATAACCCCATCACTTAGCAGTTTAGAATAACAAACATTTATTATGACAGGTTTTTGTGCTTCAGGAATCCAAGTATGGCTTAGCTTGATGCCCCTGGCTTTCACATTCTCTCATGAGGTTATAGTCAAGCTATTGGTTGCGGCTGTAGTCTCCTGTGAAGGCTCAACCTGGGGGAAGGGAATCAGCTTCTGAACTCATTCAGTTGGCTGTGATAGGCCTTGGTCCCTTTCCACATGAGCCTCTTCACAAAACTGCCTCAGAACCTGGTAGGTGGCTTGTCCCAAGATGAGCAATCAAAGAGTATTCAGGACAGAAGTCACTATTTTATAACCTAACACGCCACCACTTCTGTAATAGTCTATTTGTTAGAAGCCAATGAGTTAATCTAGGACACAGGAGGAGAACACAAGGGTGTGAATATTAAGAAGCTGGGACCACTGGTGGCTGTCTTGCAGGCAACCTGCCACAACTATACTTGATTCACTTCCCTTTGGGATTTATTGAATGACTCTCACAGTTAACAAAGAATAGCAACTAAACTAAGGAAGAGAACCATTTTAAGGTTTATACTCTACTCCCATTGATCTTGATGTTTTTCATTTCTTTTTCTTTTCTTTTCTTTTTTTTTTTTTTTTGAGATGGAGTCTTGCTCTGTCACCCAGGCTAGAGTACAGGCGTATGATCTTGGCTTACTGCAACCTCCACCTCCCGGGTTCAAGCAATTCTCCTGCCTCAGCCTCCTGAGTATCTGGGATTACAGGTGCTCGCCACCATGCCCAGCTAATTTTTGTATTTTTAGTAGGGGCGGGGTTTCACCATCTTGACCAGGCTGGTCTCGAACTCCTGACCTCGTGATCCACCT